TAAGGGCAGTTTTAATGTAAAACAAAGAAAGAGCAATGAGTCCTGGGTATGCCAATGAAACTAGGAGTTTCAGTGTGAGCAGCCTTGTAAAGAAACTCAAAAACAAGACAACCGTATGACAAGTCAGATGGAATATTACAGGTCTCACTCCTCAAGTGACTGCTTGGGAACTGGACTGTAATTACTTTGACCAAATGATCAGTCTTGTAGTTCATCTTTGACAGTTTTCCAAGTGGAATAAATGGTACATTTCTCAAAAAACCCCAAACCTGTGAGAGTTTCCTCAGTATAAAAATTGCAGAATTACCATGTGGAAGATGAAATATTATCAGTTCATACTAGTGTGTTCATTTATCTCATTTTTCTTTGCTAAGAAATGAATGACATTTCAATTAACATACTAAGCCACCTCAGCCTGCATTAAAGAAACTGGAGGAAACTGAGATTTTCAAGATCAGAAACTACCCCTAAGATACAATTTTACAATAATTTATGTTGGAAGACATCTATGAAGGTGATATGGTCCAAGCCCTTTTCATGACAGGGCTGAATTAAAAGCTACTTTAAGCTCAGGGTGGATCAGCAAGTACAGTAGTTACAGTCACTGCTTGATCAACAGAGTAAAAACTCAGTAGGTTAGTACTTGGTTCAAACTAACTAGAAGAAAGAAGAATAAATGGAATTTGGCTGTTTCACTCATTTCACTAATTGAAGAATAAAGATGCTAAAAACCTCAGAAAATCTGGGTTGTTTGAGTGTGATACTGAAAGGGAGGCTGAGTGAAATGTGACCTGGATCTACTAAAAAAATCTTGGAAATAATGTAAAGAGTAGCAAAAGCTAATTACAGTACTAAGTCAGAATCAACAGGAGTGTATATGTGATAATTAGATCACAGAAGCAGATCTATAATACAAATGTTTAAGCAGAAGACATTTATAAAACAAGAAAGTTTTCTTCGGACACCAGTTATATCCAATTAACTACACATATATCCTTCTTATACAGATAGTTGTCTAGCTCTTATAGCATAACCACACTACACACTTTGAGAGATTTCAGGTAAAGGTTATAATCAAAATCAAAATTATCTGATGAAATTAAACAGAATTCTAGACTGAACCCAGACAGCAGCTTAGGAAGAGTACCAGTTTCAAGAACTCTGATGAACCAAATAATGGATTTCAAGATTTGAATTTTCCAGGTTACTTAAACTATCAGAAGTCTTCTAGGGTGTGATAGTGAAATCCTATGATCACCATATTTGGCAATTTTGTAGCTGAAAAAGAGGACAACATATTCATCCTATAAGGAAAAATCCTCTAAATTAATGTAGTGTTGTCAACTGTCAGACATGCCTTACTGTGGGAAAATGGCATGGATATGATATGCCTTTCCTTGGGCAAAAAACATATGGATCTCAGGGCTCCAACAAAATCACATTGTACAGGAGCTTTTAAAACCTTTCTTTTTGAAGAAATCAGTCAATTGCATTGGAAAGCAGCAGACTGTGCCCCACATTTATTTAAAGGTATATGTCCTCACAGAAAGCTTTTCGGATCACTATTTCACTTTCATTTCAGAGTATCAATGTCTTGCAGTCCAGTCACTGAGAACACATAAAGCTGGCATATATAAGACAGAAAGATGACAAACTGCCATAATATATGCAATTTTATTTGTTTAAAAGTAACCTTCAGAAGTTGTTGTATGTCTATGAAAGTCCATTTTCATTTCCATATTACTGTTGTATGAGTCTGTAAAAACTAAATACTTGATAAAAAAGTCAGAACTCCTTTTTCAGCCAGTGCATTTTTTCTGGATCTAGTCATTTTTCAGACAGCTAAATGAACACACAGAATACTACATGGTAATCCTCATCCCATTTAACTTCTATGTTTGGACTTACTGACAGCTGCAGTCACACATGCAATTTTGATGAGAGACTGTAAGAGTCTCTCGCTGTTGCCTCCCTAACACCGTCCAAATTCCTGAAATATTCAAAGTCTGGCCATTAGCTCCTAATCTTTAAAAGCTGCCTTGTCAAAAGGCCAGCTCCAACGAAGAAGGGTGTCTGTCTTACTGCAGAGCTTCCCAGAGGTGTAGCAGAATGACTTATTTGAATGAAGAATGCAGAAGAGAAAAGCAAACAAACAGCATGACCTGGCAGGCTCAGATGCATCCATTTTTTCACTGCTGCTTGTTCTGCCTCCTTCACATTGAAAAGTTGTCTTGCTTCCCTCCTGCTGGATGTGGGCAATTAACTCTTTAGCTTCTGGTCCAGACGCTAACATATCCTACCTGATTTACCTGAACAGGATGATAGACCTTGGCCACTGTGACTGCAGACTTTTGTCATGTATGGCTCTTCAAGAATGTACGTCTGCAGAATGACAGGCTTGAACAGACTTGCTGCTATAGAGTCTTTCTGGTTTAAATCTACCCACAAAGACTGAAATACTACGTTCACAAACATTTTTATTCCTCTTTAGGAACTCTTCCTTTAGGTCTGTCTGGTTTAGATCTGTCCTGAAATGTCTTCAGCTCTGAAAACACTGGACCTTCAGAGCAGCATAGAGGATTTACACAGCCTCACTGATGGCTTCAGAAAAGCTGGAAAAAACAGCTCTCAAATTCAGCTTGTCAGTTTCTCCAAAGTGTTTTAAGGCCAAGAGGTTCTTCCCCAGTTAATCCAGTTTTCTACTGAGCATCTCTCTTTCCATATCCTTGCTGCCGGTGTTCTAAATTTTGATCACTTGCGAGAGGGATTTCTATTTCTCTTCCAAGTTTCTTTTCCAGCTCCACCTCTTATACAGCTCTTTCCTTTAAGGCTAGTTATGGAAAAGTCTACTTCCCAGTCTTAATGTATTACTTAATGAATTTGTAGACATTTCAAGGACTCTGATAATTAATTTATTGAGCTGTGTTTATTTGTCTTTCTTCCTCCTCTTTTCGGTTTTGCCTACAGGTCCATTTTCTTCATCTAGTGAGCAGTCATATCCTGATAGACAGGAGACATATGACATTTCTTGCAGAACTGATGCTATCTATGTGATGCCAGCTGTCTTAAGCACTTTCTTATTTTCCCTGAATTTAGTGTGCCAGTGAGCCTGAATTCAAATGGTAACAGCAACTCTTTGTGCTTCTGCCAAAGCTCTCAAGGTGTCCTCAGGATTAGGAAATATGCATTTTGCTTGGAATGGGAGTTTAATTGAACAGAGCCACTCTGAGGATTTTATATCCTTAAATCCAGTGAGATTTGAGGGACACACATCACTGCGATTTATATCAAAGGTTTTCAGTTCTAGGCAATGGCCTCCTGAATCCAGAAGGACTTTCACTGTCTGGCCCTTTTGGAGGTTGGGGTTGGGGAATAATAGCCACTCCCTCTTCAGGAAAAGTTATTCCTTTATATCTTAAGTCAGCCTCCATCAGTCATTACTGATTTCCTATCTATCTCCTTGTAACAAAACCCACACTTCAAAAGACAGCTGTACTCCATGGTCTTTGGTCTGCTATTGCTTACCAAAACCTGAAAATCTTCTCTCAGGATTGACAGAATCATAAATAATTAAAACCATCTTATCTGCCTCTGCATAGCTCCTGCCTTTCTTGTGACCTTTCCACTGGATCTGCCTGCCTCCATCTTGCTTCCTTTCTGAACAAAGAGCAGTCTAAAAAGCTTTTCTCTTACGGCCACCTGGACATTGCTCTCAGCTTTTCTTTTCTTCCATGTCTTTTCTACACTTAACCAAATTCATCCCACCTCTGCCACCATATGTGACACAAAGAGTTTGAGTGTGAAATGAAAGAGAATCTGCTTAATAACGTAGAGCTCTTTTCAAAGATGCAACTGTATTATTTCAAAGCAGAACTGAAATGAAAACACAAGCAGCACAGGCAGCACCTACTGCCTTTCTTAGTCACTACTCCAGAAATACATTGTTTTACTCGAGAAAACCAATGCTTGGTGCCCAAGCCATATACTGGTAACATATCCTAGTTGCCTCTTAACAAGACAGAACATCACTGCAGTTCACTCTTTCCACAAGCCACACGCCTTTAAGAAATAACAGAGACATTCCTGAAGCAAAACACAGCAATTCAGGCCCATCTTATGAGCCCATCTTTTGGACTCTGTCAAAGAAGCTCTTTCGGGGTGTCACAATTTCCCTTAACCTTTTATTTTTCCAATTCTCTTCTGTTCCCCTCTACTTTCTGAATTAGTTCCTCATTCCTTCTCCTAGGAGCTGCTGGTCACAAATACATGAGCTAAGAACCAACACCCCAGATTACACCACACATTGCCTAAAAATAAAGGTTCAACATGGGTTCTACGCAGAATTTTGTGCTGTGTTACCAATTTATGGATAATAATAGAAAAAGGCAGTTTATTTGAAACAGAAACATCCAGTTACTGAAGCCAAACAAATAGTCTTACAGGAAAAACCCCAACGTGTCACTCATTAACTTTCTGACGCAATCAATAAGGGATGCAACAAAAGACAAGTGGTTTTCTTCCCTGTTTTGAATTTCACCACAAAAAGAAGATTATTTTTTAACGAGATATGGTATTTGGAGAATGATAATACTTAATTTGACTAGTTGCTTGAGAGGCATGCAATCAGCTGGAATTCACTGACCCATTTTAAATTTGCCAGCTGCTTTGAAACACTATAAGAAAACAACATATGAAGGACACATGTATTTTTCACTCCAAGGTAATTTCCTTACACTTGACTGTTAGTCTTTCTGCTGCCACAAGTCACTTCAACAGTTTGTCCAGACTATAAATACTCTTGGAAATTTCCTAAAGATTCCTCTTATCTGTCTTATCTGTTAACTTAAAAGAAAGTAAAATCAAACCGTACATTTTTTTTCTATCAGAACAGCAGTAAAACCAATCGGGTCTTATGTACATACATATTTTCATTTGAAGTGGCAGACAGCTGACAGCCTAAATTAGTTTCATTGACTTAGAAAATTATATTATTTAATTACCTTGTGTCAGGTTTTAGGTTTTCCACAGTAGAATGGGTTTGATTTGTAGTGATAATTGATTTCTCCTTTTCACCATCACTTCCTCCATTTTCAGTTGACACAACCTCATACTCTGGAAAATTACAGTAAAGAAAAATTTGTTTAAGTAACATCTCTTACTTGAGCTTCTTCACTGCTCTCTCTTTTATCATCTGATTTCCACTCTTGCTGCCTAATAGTCTGTAAGGACAACTTGTGTGTACCTGTCTGGACATTAATATGCTAAAATGATTAAGACAGATCTAGTTCCAGATTGCTGTATGCCTCTCATCCTTTCTCATAGTTCAGTTATGGGACACAGGATACTCAGCATCTCATCTTTGCCCAATGGTACACTCATGATGAAATTTGAAACACAAGTACAAGAATTCTGTAGTTTGAACGAAACTGTGTCAAAGTTGAAAGGGTAGTTTCTAAATTCTTAAACCTTGATTAACTTAAAATAAGACCTATCTTTTTAAGATTTACAAAGGAAACTGCCCAACTAACTTGGATTTGTGCACTTAGGGAATCTGCTAGTTTAGAATGAAATCATTTTGCATAAATTTATTTCTGTATTTAGATGATTTTTAGAGTATCACTACTTTCTTTTCATCTCACTCAGATGTATCATCAAGCACAAACCATTCTCTGAGCACGGAATTAACAATAGATGTTTGGGAAGAAGATACTTTTTCAATCCTAGCCCAGTCCAAGACATAGTTTGTCTCTAGCAAAAAACTGTCCCAACTTATAACAACCTCTTCTAAGAAAAACATTAAGTATAATGTTATTTTCCTCTCTTTGCAAAGAAATTCCCAACCTCATCAGCCCCTTCCTTTTCCCTTCCTTAAACCTCTCTGTGATATCACATGCAGCTTTGCTACTGCTAAGCTACTAAAGGAGGATGTTTACAAAGAACATTTGCAATGAGCATTTAGATCTACAGAACAACGAATAAAGTAGGTCCTATACTGTGAGAACAGAGGCCACCTATCAACAGCTACAGAACCTCTAGAAAACTACATCCTTTCTGTTTTTTTCCTAATGGTTCTATTAATGTTCTTGTTTTTAACTAAATGCTAGCAAGATGTATGGCTTTTTTTTTTTTAACTAAATCTTTTAGTAATGAAAGGAGACCCATTTATTGTCAACACAGAAAGACAAAACACCTGCAGTAGGATTCAGTTTTTAAAAGGAAAGGCTGTCCTAATTGCTGCTGGACTCTCAGATCCTCACTCGTAATAAATGTAGAAGATGAATGAGTGTGGTGGGTTGGCTTTTGGATTTTTTAGGCCTTCCTTAGCAACGGGAGTCAGAAATCTAAGGAAGTATTCCACATCATCCTTTAGCTTAACACAGCATATAAATAAGGTGGAGATAAGAGAGCTCGTGCTCTTCTCTCTTCTGGTGGCTGAAGGCGCCAGGTCTCTCTGCAGATGGTCTTTGCCTGTATGGGCCAAGGCCTGCCTGCTCCGACCTGCCGTTATCTCCGGTCCCTTCGGGAGGTGTGGGGAGTTGGCTGGTGCTTCGCACGGTTCTGCTGTCTCCTTCAGGGAAGTATTTAATCCGTTTTTTTAATTTGTTTGTTCGCTAGCCCTCTATTAGCGGTGTAGATTTGGAGGGTATTTGTTTTTAGGTTTTTTTATCCCTGTTTCCCCCTCCTTTTTTCTTTTTTTCCCCCTCGGGAGTTCCCTATTGTGTGGATAATATATTCGAATTATATATATAATTGTGAATATATGTAAATATATATTTTTGATATAATCCCGTTTTCGCTCAGACTTCCTTTGGTTTTTCTGTGGTTCGTGGGTTTTTTTCCTCGCTTGAGAGAGTGGGAGGGGGGAGGAGACAGCTTGGACTTGGCAAGAGAGCCAGGCCAAACTTACACACACACAATTAGGATACACAAATTGACCCAATTTTGAACTCAGTTGTGCAACTGTGGTTTCCTATGCATTCTTTTATGCAAAAATGAGCTATCGAACCCACTGCAGAAAATTACAATTAAGTGGAATTACAAAGCAGCTCTAAAAAATTATGTTCTAAAATTGCAAGCTTCTAAACCCCAACAATTCAATCTAAGCAATTATATACGTGTATGTATATGTGGATTTTAGGTTTACTGGTATAGTTTCAAAAGGGATCTCCTACACAACATCTTTCTCTCTTTACCTTGCAGTAGATTCAGTTATTTAAAGCATATATAGAGCAACATGCATGTCAGAGTCAGCCTGAAGAAAGAAATTAATGCCAATAAAGAAGATTTAAAAATTTCCATTTTCAGAAGTCCTCTCCCTTCCACCAGTCATCCATGAACAGCAACAAACCAACCTCTACCTTTTAAAATCAAACTTATGGACCTGCAGGAATGGGTGTCTCAGAAAAGATGGGAGAGGGGAAAGTAAGTAGAGGACTTTTACTTTAGGTCATTTGTTCAAGTGTGATCCCAGTGCAATGATATTAGTATTGATGATTAGTATATATTTGTCTAAAACATAACTGTTTCCTTTCTATGTGTTTCCTCTTTGGAAACAAAGACATTTTCCTATCTAGCCACCAAGGGCTAAGTGAACCATGGAGAAAAAAAACCATGCAAAAGCACTTATTTGTCCTGATTAAACCTCATTAGAGAAATTATATTTATTAAGAAGCACGGGAGAGATGGTGGATATCAACTGCCTTAGGTACGCCCAGATAGTGAATGAATAAGTGACTTCTGCCAACCCCAAGTCAGTGTGTGATTTGGACTTTTTTAACTCATTCAAGTTGGAAAACAAAATGCAGTAAAAATGTGTATGAGCTCATACATAAAAAGAACTGCTGAGCACATCCAGTACCTGCTTGTTACTCAGTACACAAGGCAACAAACTGCCCTACATTTCTGTGGCAACACAACAGGAGTAACAGCGAATGAGCAAAATGGTTTTGGTTCCTGACATTTGCAGCTTTTACGAAAACAAGGAGGTGAGATTGATCACTGTTTTGGTTATTATTTGTCAGACCTTTCTGTTACTGAAGCACAGTTTTGTTTTTAGGCATACCCAATGAAACCCCTTGTACACAGCTAAGGTTAAGCAAAGTAACCATTTAAAAAAAAAAGGTGCAACAAATTATGCTTTCTGTTTTCACAGTTCTATCTGAAACAGTGTATTTCTTAAAAAAAAAAAAAGATGTGATGCCTAAATTAGATGATTGGAAAAACATGTATAAAATACAAAAATAAAAAGAGATGACAGAAAAATTGATTTAAGTCTGTCTGAACAAGTAATGTCACACTGGTGCCAATATGAAGCAATCACTGTTTTCAGAAAATGGGACTCAATGTCTTCTTTTAAATTCAGAAAGTGTCCTTGGATGAGTTCGTTAACTGAGTTATTAACTAACTTCAATGTTTAATTTTTGTAAGTTAGTATTGAATACAGAAGACAGCGGAAAAATTAGGAAGCCCATCTTGCACGTTTACCTGCCTATGTAGTGATTCCTGCATGACTCACATGCATTAATTCTCAATACAAAACCCTTGCCTTAGAAATGAAAAAAACCAGATTCTTTCAGCACAGAGAACTTGTTGACCCTATGGTGGCTACTGCAAGTATTATGCTGACAAATTTCTACTGAATTACTAGATGAATGTAAGGTTTGATTGTGTCTGGCCCACTGTCAAACGACATCTACCAGTCAAGAAAGATGTCTGCATTATGTGTGTGCATCTATATAATAGACTGCTGTTGCACTCTTGGACCTTCTTGACAAGATCTTACCAGATCCTGTACAGGGAGAAGCCAGAAATTAGAAGATATAGAGTCATACTTAAATATATTTTTGTGTCATCCCTGACACTGACACCAATGATCTTGTTCTAATCTAGTAGCATTTTCTTATCCACACTGGAATTCACAGTAGCACAAAATAAAAGCACCGAGGTCCTTCAATCTGCTGAGATTAAAGTATGTTTTTAAATACCAAAAAAGTAAATTAAACTGGAAGTACTATACTATCATACAATGAAGGAAAGAAATCGAACCAACCTGTAACAGTGTCATTGTCTGGTTTTTCCCAGTCCAATATGACAAAGGTTGGACAGCCCTCAACCGTCACCACTGTGAGATTGGTTGGAGGATTTTGTGGAGGACGAGTGGGTTCTTCCTTGCTTCCAGCTTCTTCTTGAGGAAAATGTTCAAGAGAGCTTGTGATAGAGCAAGGCACATCATCGTCTTTCTTCATGTACTTGACATGGGGAGCTAAGAGCAATGGGAAAGACCTGTTACTCAACAGAGTGTTTTTGCAAAATGTCAATGCCATTTCACCTAGTTCACAACATCCATCTCAGGGCGCCAAGTAAAAGTCTGCACAAGTCAAACACAAATGTTTCAGAATAAAACACATACATTCAATTTTAAGCTGCTTTAAAAAAAATTTTATTTATTGCTGTTAGACCCGCAATCACTGCCTTCATCCCCCTCTCATTTGCACCACTGAGGAAATATCACTTTGACAGTATTAGCAGGTGATAGACACTGCTTGAAAGAATTAAAATCACAAAATAGGACAATTAACTATATTTCTTCTATAGTAAAATGACACTGTAATTCCACCTGCAGCTTTTGTGAAGCATGTTAATACAAAAATGTCCCATACACTTTGTTTCACCAGAAGGATTAACAAGTTTACTCCAGTCATTAAACTCGCTTAATGAAACTTGCAGTTTCTAAAGTGACTGTCAAAATCTTAACCATTTTCAGTGGTACAGCACTAAATCTTGGAACAAACTTTCTGAGGCATATGTCTTGTACTCTGCATCAAAATTAGAAAGATTACTGAAGACAAACACTCTCATTCTAAGATTAAAACTTTTGTTGGAGGTAAACAATAAGCTCTCTCAAGAAAGAAAGTGTCTTCAGAAATGTAGTGTCTCTTACCAGAACAAGAAAAAAACCCTGAAAAATATTTTCATACAAAAGTACTTCTTCCTTTTATCTCAACTTGCTGAACTCTCTAGATTATTGCAACAGCAATAACTTGACTACAGGCTGGAAAAGAGGTGAGGGATATATGATGGGTAGATATCCTGTATGGCAAGGTGCACTGGTATTGGGACAATACCTCTCCAAGCACATGTGCAAGCCCACATGAAGAGCCACAGCATGTTTGTGAACAAAACTGTAAAATAGGAGGTGGTAGCAGGGTTTGTGCTAAAGCTCTTTCATCTGCCACTGAAGCGACACAGAATCAAATAAAATTTTGGCCTTTGAATAACCAAATAAAATAATTTTGATGCAAGATAGGTCAGTCTTCATATATTCCCCCAAATGAAAATACCACAGCTATTAATATCCTACCTTGGTACCTTGGTTTGCCTGAAGAATCTGTTTCTGATGTAGGACTTGAGCTGAAGACAGTTGCATCCACTGTGGGAAACACAGTTATAATTTGCAAATAATCCAAAGTTTTGGTGTTAGAACTGCAGCATTTCACAGTTCCTTTGGCATTTTAAATCCTGATAAAGGTCTTCCATGGCAGACCTTTGCTGCCAGATCTGTTGTTTCATTTTAGTGACTCCATTTTAGCTGTGGTGCTAAGTAAATCTCGTACTTACCTGCTACTATAAACATAGCCATAATCAAAATGACAGACTTCGTGACTGCTGCTGGATTCAGTTCATGCAGCATATGTAAAATGTTTTTTAGACCTTTTAAAAGTATTTTTTTGCACTGTACTTGCTGTTTAGCTTGGAGCTTGTTTCATGTTCCTAGAACGTATAGCACTATTACATTGGCACATTAACTTCTCTAAAAATAATAACAAGGGAATCACAAATTCTGTCTCCAGAGTGTACAACTTCCACAAAATTTGAAGGAAGTTGAAGGCAAATGCACTGGTGAATAAAAATGCGCTAAAGCAGTCAGGATTCATGACACCAGTGTTGTATTAATTAGCCATTACACTGAACAGAATCTTCTTTTAGATGCAAATACTATAATGGACCTCAACAAACAAAGCACGATACATTCACAATGAGCATTTATAAATAAGTCAGTCTAGCATCCAACTCGCTTTACTGAGCACTAAGGGTCACAGTGAGTTCATGATCATTTAAAGGAGACAAGAATTTCAGTATTACAATACATCCAGGAAAATTAGAAACAGCATAATTTATGGCAATACACTTAGAGCTGCATATCTGGGCTCAAAAATTCTAAGCGCACCCTCCAAATGCATTACTGGATGCCACTTCGAAGGGGCTTAGGTTTGGACTTGTAATCAACTCCCAATTTTATAAAGGGCAAATTACCAATTAACCACTATGTGTGCTCTATTACCTTTTTCCCCATTTAAATGGTGGCAGCTTAATCAGATACCTAGAAGGATGTCACATCCATGATGAGCACAAATCAGTCACTGTCAAATAATAGTTTGAATTTATGTCCTGTGCAAAAAGAAATTTGCAGGAAAAGAAGGTTCCTTATCTACTCCCTGCACAGACCTAAATTGCCACTGAAGTGTATTGAAAAACCTACTAAGCATGTATGGATTTATAGGAAATGGAAGGGCTGTCATATTCTCAGTTATCAAGATATGTATCAGAAGACAGCTAGATTAGCTCAGTCAAATTAAAAAAGTTGCTAAGTGGCATAAAAGAAATCAGAATCACCCCAAACTGAATGCTTCTTGTATTAAATACCTAATGCATCAATATAATTTAAGGAAGGGAAGCAAAAGAAAATAGAAACCTTAATGTTAATTAAAAAAAAAAAAAGAAAAAAAGAAACCAGAACTGTTTGTAATATGCTTACCATAATACTCTGGAGTTGCAAAAGCTGTTGGTGTCCTATATGACGTTCCTGTCCTCACAGGCAGTGTTGGTCCAGCAGGCTTAGCTATAGTGACAGATGGAGGGACTTGTTGCAACAAGGTGTTCAATATTTAAAAGAGAGAAACAGCTTTATGGTTTTCTAGGGGAACTCAGATTTGTGACAAGTGCTTTGTGCAACAAGTACTTTCATTGAAACCATGGTAATCCCTCAAAATTTATACAACAGCTTTCAGCTGGATTTAGGAAAGTTCTGAATTGTGCTTATTGCAGATATAACCTAATCCTGAAACCAAGTAAGAAAATTCTTCGCTACTTTGAGATTGTTTTAGAGGACTTCAGTCAGCTAGAATATTACCTGGTTTAATGCACAGAACAATTGTACATGGACTGGTAAAAGGATGCAAAGTGACCATCGCTGACATTTCTCTTTCTTAAGTAAAAGAGCACGTTTCTTCATGACTTGTAAGACACAACAGCTGAAGTCAGCAACTGAAACTTGGATTCTTCCCTCAAATATGGGTAAGATCCTTTCATTTCTACTCTCAATACAGTACATAAATTAGCAAGGCTGGAGCTGGAACATGAATAACAATAAACACCAAGTCCTTAACCGTGGTCTGTATTAAGAATTTAACCACCAAACAGTCCTGGAGCTTCCACTAAATGAAATTAAGATGCATTTCAAATGAAAGAAAGGAAAATGCAACCAAGTCCAACATTTTCAACATTTATAACACTACATGACCCAAAGGAAAAAGTTTTCTTTCTGAACTCATTTCTGTACTAGGTGTCATAAGTTTAGGCAGAAACTAACTGATAGAAGCAATATTATCTCCCATAACTAAATAGCTCTTTTAGAAAATTTTCTGGATTATGTGACATTACTTTTACTCCTTAGCTGTTACTACCTGATAAAGAAAATAAGTTTCTAAGAGGCAAACAATCCATGGTAAAGGATCTTTCAAAATAGCTGTAAAAGATAAGAGCTAAATTCACAAAACATGCAGATACTCCCAGATAACGGTGACGTGACTGGAAAGCTCAACCTCAAAAAAAGTCAGGAACTATATAATGTGCATATATGACACAGAAGACCATGGTGACTGAAGGCAGAACTCTTCTTTAAACTCTGGTGAACGAAGTTTAAAATAACAAAAATCTCTACTTTCCACTAATTTCCTTAATAAAGTTGACTTTGAAAGATTGTCGCTGGAGTCCAGCTTCACAAAGGTTTTGAAACTGTCTTGTTTCCTTTTTTTTCCATTCAGGAGACTTTTAAGGTTTGCACAGAAACCTTTCCATAATATTCATCCACCAGATGAGTTAGAAAGATGCAAGTAAGGAATTAATCACAGTATTAATGAGAAAGAGGACAGAATTCCGACAGGGAAAATCCAAGAAGAACATTGAGGCAAATTTTTCCTGTTAGAACAGTGGAACTGTCTCTCCAGGGAAGCAGAAGAAACTGAATTATAATGTTTAAAACTAAGCTGGATAAAACACTAGGAAACACAGAAGAAGGAAAATCGGCTACTAGCCCCACAAGGAAGAACCAGTTCATCTAACCAATTTATTCCATCTTGAAAGCCGAGGAAGGTATGGTAACTGCTGACTACCACATAGCCTGGCCTCAGTGTATGGAAAAAGGGTGAAATTTTATATCACTGGTAAATTAATTAGACACTTAGTGGAGAAAATTAGTATAGACCCCCGCTACAAGCAAAAGAAAATATATCAGGTCAACATATTTTATGCTGCAGCTCAAGACTGACAATGTCTTATGTTTTGTTGTAGCTATTACTAAAGAAACACCACCAGATCAAGTGCAAGTGTAGACACAACGTTTCAATCTTAGTTCTGCCGTTAGCTTGGAGGTTCTTGTCACTCATCTGCTGCACAAAATACTAAAGAATTATATAGGTCTTTAGTGCCTTAATAGCACGCAAAGTCCCAAATGAAATAAACCAAAGACAACAGTAAATACAGTACAGTCAAGACCTTTGTATTTCCAGGGAATGACAGAGACCAATATGAAAAGCAAAGCACTTGTCATGAGGCTAAGCATAAAGAGATTACAGTTTCTGACTACCTGGAAAAAAGTTAGCCTAAGGATTCTTATATAGAATCCACAGAAAAACATATATGTGGATATTGAATACCAGTTTCAGGATAAAATTAAAATAAAATAGGAAATATGAAAGTTTCTGTGTGCTCTTAAATGGGTACTGAGAAGGTGGAATACTTTAGCACAATAATCAAGTTAAACTCTGTGCACATGAAATAACTCAGCTCACTCTACCTCCCAGTACAGTCAGTTCTCTGGGTGACTATTAGCTCATTATTTGCAGTGGTTAATGGATATGCAATATATATGTGACAGAATTTCTTAACAAATAACCAGTTGGGTGTATACATTGAAGTATAATATTCAATATCTCCCATCCAACATGCACATTAAGTAGCTACAAATGCTATTAGTAGACATGAAATACTCATAAGGTTGATCTTCTTAAAGGATAACTTGGAGTGTGATATTTGGCTTTCAGCTCCCTTATTAGGGATGATTTTGACATAAGCAGGTTAGGAAAAAAACCCCCAAAATAGAGTTCATGTCAGAAGACAAAAGGCCTATGTGTTCCAAAATACTAGTTTCTGTAGCTCTCACAGATTAAAGAAATCTATCCTATAAAATTCTCCTGTACCTTAATAGTCAGTATTATCTCACATGCAATAACATATTTATGTTGAAAAGGCTGAGATACCTGGAATCCCGGGTTTACCAGTCACGGTGTTTGGAGGCAGAGGTTTTCTTCTCATCTGTGTAGGCTTGGCAGGAGGTATAGGAGGGCGCTGAGGTCCAGGTGATGTAGTTACTGAATGACATTACAAGACAGTGTTATTAATTATTCAACCTCAATTTCCATAAAATTAGAAACCCATTACAAGTTATATTCTGACTTCTCAAACAATGTTTCATTTCTTATTTAGTATCAAAAGTGGAGAGATGAGGTTAGGAGCTGAAGTGAATTCTATTTTCAGTCTTAAATTCTTTGAGAAGTGTGTGCCATGAAGTTTTTACCCAAGCTTACTCTGAAAATATGTAGCTCCTCTGGGATTTTTTACAAGCGTTTCAGTGATTCACTTTCTGTGTAGTTACTTGTTTCTGTCAACAGTAATTTTTTGGCATCCAAAAGGATATGTTTTCACACAATAAACACCACCTCAGCGTACTAGGAAACATCTTCAGTATCCTACTCACAAAATTTGTGATCTCTTGTACTTTCTAATTGATAGAACTAGTCACCCTCAGCTTGAAGCAAAAGATGTAATGAAAGGGAAATTATCATTAGGAAAACTTTATTCTATGCTGTTCAAGTGAAAAATGAAAAAAGTCACTGTCCCTTCATGTACAGACATGTCTAAAGACAGTTATGTGGTAGAAATTTCTGAAGCTCCCAACTTGGTCATTTCAATGTGCAGTTCTAGCCAGTATCTATTAATTTTATCTGGTAAGGTCCTTTGACAGTGAGGTCTAAAAAGAGAGCCTTTAGTTCATAATGACAAATCATTTTACTGTATTTTCCAGCCAATTATGAGGGGTTTTATTATGCAAAGGAAAGGCAAAGGAAAAGATTTTTCTTCCACTCTTCACCTTTGCCCTTCTTTCCTTAAGAAAAAACAGGAGATATGAGCAGCACATTTATGTAACAAAAGACTTGTTGTACCTAAGAGGGGAAAACCCTCAAGAGTAATAAAATTCTTATAATGCTGCCAATGTCAACAAATACACAAGTTGCCTGATACTGAATTACTGGCTACACAGAGTGCCTCAGGCCCTATGTATCAGACCTTAGTTTACCCTATAAATAGAGTGACTGCGGGAGAGAAGGGAGCAGATCCAAAGACTCATTTGGGAGGACATTTTCAGAAATATTACAATACGCAAACAGGAATATCTCCATCTTTCTCTGTCCCCTTTTCCTTTTGGACTGTTGCAGCCACTTATAGAACACTTTTTTTTCGTAGTCCCTCAGATCAAGACAGAAAATAGTGCTTTTTCTAATTCAGGAAGACGTAATGGTTTTGAAAATAGCATTTATAGGTTTCACATTCGCTCTTAATCCCCAAATGGATATGAAAAAGTTATGCCTAAAGAACTGAAAAGAGATAAATTTTTACATATATAAGTCATCATACCCTAGATACTACTACATGATAGTATTCATCATTACTTTTTCCCCAGCCCGTATTTAGGGAATAGGATTGTCTGTGTTATTTATGGGGTAAGAATGTGCAAGTATTGACTTGCCAAGTGGTTTCTATCGTATTTTCTGAGCAATACAACCACAACAGTCACATGCAAGCCAAAACAACACATTTGGTGTATGTGTCACAGTTGAATCTATTATATTGCACTCTGGAAAAACAATAATCCCTACTACTACTTCCCACAATGACTTGGGTGACGGTCTATGACGCTACCAAATCTAATCACCAATATATGGAGACTGAGCTTGTAAACTAGGGTGCGCAGTAGAATGTAGGGATTTTCTGATAGTGTAGATTCTTGCAAGGACAAAAGCATGGTGAACTGTTAGGATTTAATTAATCTCGGGGCTTCTTTAGGGACTGGGAATCTATTTCCTTGACTCAGTCACTCTTGATGAAGGAGGAGGGTGTGCAGCTTCTTGGGAGAGACTTTGTCTTTACTGTTGACATAGACGATGGGATTGAGTGAACCCTCAGCCATTCTGTGGCTGACACAAAGCTGGTGGTGCAGTTTACACACCAGAGGGAAGGGTTACCATCCAGAGGGACCCGGACAGGCTGGAGTAGTGGGCCAATGCAAACCTCATAAAGTTCTAATTTTCCTCACAATACTAATAGTCAGCACAACTTTCTCATAAATAGGAGTACAATTTGGTTATGCATTTACTTTATTCTCCTTTGCTATGTGGAAACTGTTAGTACGGAAAAAATCAGTATTTACAGTATTGTGGCTGTTTGATCAGAAGGATGTGATCACGATGATAATTTTTAGCATATATCATATGTTAGAGAATAAATAGTGACCACAAAATATTCTTATTTTATCACTTCTAGTAATGTCCTGAAGCCATGAGAAAGTGTATTGATAAGGGTGGTTAAGAATTATTTTTTCTTCTTAGTGGAGATGCTTTTTGTGTAGAAAAGGCAGTGTTTTTGTTTTTCGTAACACTTACAGTTTCCTATATTTTCTACTTTTATTAACTTTACCAGAAAGAGGTTTTTTCCAGGTATCAATATATTCCCAAGGTTTTTTTACATCCACAGCAACTTGCTCGGTAATATCCTCAGGTATATACATATCACCTGTGAAACAAAGGAAATGGAATAAGTCTCTACAGTGCAGCACCAAGTCATGGAATACTTGTATATTGTATATATTCAAACTCTAGTTAACATTAAGTGCATAACCAGCATGTATGGCCCACCTATATTTTTAGTGGTAACTGAGTGAAATCCATTATTTTCTTATTCAAGTAAATAGGAAGCGATCTGTTTCTAGAAAGTCTGCAATTTAAAAAAGTGTATTTGGAAAGAGAGAATTAATAAGATGGAGAGGTAACAGATCAGTTAAACCAAGATGATACGTGGAAAGATGTG